GTGGTCTGGGCAAGGGCACCTGGTAGCACTGGAAGCATCTCCCATGCGTGTGTCCTCTCTTCCAGCTGCTGCAGAGGCGGGGCACCCAGCTCCGGGCCCAGACACTCAGCCGGTCCTGCTTCCGCCAGTGGCGACACCAGGTGGGAGCCGAGCAGCCCTCACCCCAGAGCTCCCCCTGACATTGCTGGGCAGCGCCAGCTTCCGTCCACCTGTGACACTACGGCCAAGCCGCTTCAGGGCCCTGTTTCTGTGTGTCTCATTAAAAATATGTCAGGATAATATCCAAAAATCAACATGAGACACATTTTTAAAAAATATGTTTTTATTGACTTTAGAGAGGAAGGGAGGGGGGAGAGAGAAACATTAATGATCGGAGAGAATCAGATTGGCTGCCTCCTGCACGCCCCCTACTGGGGATCGAGCCCACAACCCAGGCACATGCCCTTGACCAGAATCGAACCTGGGACCCTTCAGTCCGCAGGCCAACACTCTATCCACTGAGCCAAACCAGCCAGGGCACGAGACCCATTTTAAGTCTTAGTGAAGTCTTGGCAAAACACCGGGTGGGCCTGTGCCCTGCTCCGCCAACCGTCATATGCCAGCGTCCTGCTGAGCCTCTGACTGCCATGTGGAGGTGTTCCCTGTGCTTCTGCAGCCCAGCGTGCTGCCCCACGTGCCCTTTCCGAGGGTCATTCCCTGATCCAGCCCCTCGGGGCCTGGCAGAGCGGGGTCTGCGAGTGACGGGGAGGCCTCCCTGCCATCTTTTCTTTCTGGCTGTAGCTGGAGAACAGGCGGCAGGAGCAGCGGGACACAGCTCGGGCCCTGTGGCTCTGGGCCTTCTCGCTTCAGGCAAAGGTACTGACGGGCTCCGCATCCCGCTGCCCAGCTCCTCCCGGGGGAGCGCTGTGCTTTGGTGGAGGGCAGGGTGGGCTGTGGGCATAGCCCCTGGAGGGTCCTAAAGGGAGAGCTGGGCCTCACCTCCTCCCCCTCCTGGAGGTGTGGGCTGCGTGGCTGGGCTTCGTACTGGAGAGGAGGAGGAAGAAGGCGAGGCTGGAGCGGGCGGTGCAGGCCTACCACCAGCAGCTCCTCCAGGAGGGCGCCACCTGCCTCCTGCGGTTCACAGCGGACATGAAGGCCCTCCGGCAGCAGCTGCATGCCCAGCAGCAGGTGCAGGTAGGCCCGGGTTCCCCTGCCTTGGGGGAGCAGGCAGGGCATGGCATGTCCTGACAAGAGGCCATTGCAGGTGGCCCACAGCCTCCACCGGGCAGTCCACCGCTGTGCCATGCTCTGGAAACAGAAGGTGCTGGGCCCCGGCCGGGCGCCTCCCCCCACCTCCACTGTGCCCAGCAGGAGAGTGACATTCAGTGGCCCCCTTCCCGACCACGTCAGCGCTGCTGCTGGAGATGCCGCCCCGGAGACCAGGAGGCCTCGAGCCCCTCGCGGGCCACAGGGCGCTCTGGGTAGCCTGGCCCTCGATGCCGGGGACCCCCCACTCCTGGAGCTGTGAGTAGCCACCCCTCACCTCGCCCCTCCGCTCCCACCTGGGGCAGAAGCTTGGCCTGTCCTGCAGGGAGAACACTGGGAGCCTTCTCTCCAGCAGGACCTGTCCCTCCCAAGCGCAGGGGTTAGCAAAAGGAGGGCAGCTCTGCCCTCCTGCCCCAGGCCTGCCAGTGTCCTGCTGATCCTTACAGCCAGGAAATGGGGCCCCCTCTCGGGAACCCCTTTCTATGCTTTGGCACCTGCCCTATAGCTGCACACTGAGCTGCCGTAGCTGTTGCTCCCAGAGAGCCCCGTGCTGCCTGAGGCTGGGGGAGGTTGCCAGCAGGGAGTGGCCCAGGCCTGTCCTGCTCTGCTTGCCTCACCCCATCCCTCCAATCCCGACCCTAACCAGGGCCGGACCCTGACAGGCCTGTCCCCGTGAGGTGGGACAAGCAGCTGCATCACCAGGGTCGCCGGAGGTCAAATGAGATGATGTGGGTGAGGGAGCAGGCTCGCTTCATGGAGATGCCGAAGTTCTGTGTGGCCCGGGCCTAGCCCAGCTCCCATGTCAACCTTGGGCAAGAGCCTCTCCTTCTCTGGCCTGCAGTCTCCCCACAAGATTGGGGGGTTGGGCTGGATGACGACCCCTACCCCAGAGTCCCAGGCCCCTGGGCAGCCTGAGGAACAGGCCTTGTTTCTTCCCAGCAGTGCCGTCCGCTCCGCAAGGAAGCAGCCACGACGTCCCAACTTCTTGCTGGAGCCCTTGCAGAGCCAGCGGCCCCTGGGGGGTGGCAGCCTCGGGGGACGGGGGTAGGTCATGGGGTCTTGGGCCCCCAAAGTACATGGTGCCTCCATCCAGGGCATGTGGTTTGGGGTCTGAGGGTGAGTGCTCCCCTTCCCTTCCTGCTCCTCAGGAGGATGCTGAGGCCTGACCAGCTCCTGCCTTCCCTTTGCTCAGGCCTGAGACGCCGAGGGAGCGAGACCTAGGCCTGGCCCCGCCCACAGGCTCTTCCCTGACGAGGCCCTTCTCGGAAAAGGCCCAGACAGTCCTGGTCCCAGGCAGCGCCCTGCCCCAGCCTGGGGCCCTGCCAAGTGCCTCTGGCCTGAAGTTGGTGCCCATGGCGAGTACAGGCCCGCAGTTGCTGCCCCCTTCCTCCTTCATGCCCTGTGGGGTGGGCACACCCACCGAGGTGAGTCCTCCCTGGTCATCTGGGCTCCCATCCTTCAGGGCTCATGCACTTGGTGCTGCAGCCACAGCTGTACTTGTTGCTTCTGAAACACATTCATTCACCAAGTGCAGGTGCCACTGCTTGAGGGCACAGGAGTGACCCTGGTGATGCAGCTGCTTGTTCCACCTCACAGGGACAGGCCCGTCAGGGTCGGGCCCTGGTTAGGTTCGGGATTGGAGGGAGGGGGTGAGGCAAACAGAGCAGGACAGGCCTGGGCCACTCCCTGCTGGCAACCTCCCCCGGCCCAGGCCCCTGCTCCCAAGGTTACATGTCCCAGTAGAGAGGACAAGACCAGCAGACAGACTGCAGGTCACAGAGGGCCGTGCAGGCCCTGCTGGAAGTTTGGCTTTAAGGAGAGGGAAGTCCTAGAGGCTGGCTGGCTGCTGTGATGGATCGCCCAGTAGGTGCTGGCCGCAGCAGACCTGGGCCAAGACCCTGGTGAAAGGCAGAAGAGGCAGGACTTGCTCTGATGGGTCTGCAGCCAGTGAAGGAAGGAAGCTGGCTTGGATCCCTCGGGATAATGAGTTCTTTCACTGAAAGAAGGAACACTGGGTCCCATTTGGGGTGAAGCATGAAGTGTGTTCAACCTGTCACATTTGAGATAAAGCAACAGGCTTGTGAGCCTGGCCTTCAGGGAAGAAGTCTGGTCTGGAGATCAAAGTTGAGAATAGGAGTCGGGTCGGGACGGAGGTGTGAGAGCAGGAGGGCTCAGTAGCAGGAGACAGCCTGGGGCTGGGCCACCCCAAAGAGCTAGGGTCTCGAGAGCCACGGGAGTGCTGAGGGGCAGGGTGACAGGAGGGGACGTTGCTCTCACCAGGAGGGAAGGAGGGTTGTAGGTGGGCAGCTGGACACTTACAAGTGCCTCTGATCACTTTCTCACTGAAAGACAAGGCCACAGCCTACAGACAGGTAGGGGTTAGGGCCAGGAAGGCTTGAAGCAGCTGTTTGGAGCAGTGCTCAGCCAGGCTCGGCGGTGTGGGGTGCTTGGGGTCAGCCCTGAAGGAAGGGCAGGGCCAGGACACTGCAAAGCCCAGCTCCTGGGGCCTCCTCGACCCTCCCCTGCAGTGGGCAGCCTTGGCTCTTGCCCCAGCCTTCCTCCAGCTTCTCTGCTTAGTGTCCATCCTTCCTTTACAGGCATCAGCATGGGTGACCACCCCTGGCCTTATGCCCCAGGCCCCTCTATCCCTGGCCAGTGTCCCCGACCCCTGTCTGCTCCTTCCTGAGGCCGTCACAGGTGGGCCTAGCTCTGAAACTGCAGGTGTGCACCTGAGGTCTGTCAGTGCCTGGGTCCCCTCCATTCAGCCTGGGCCCAGCTGGGAGCATGGCCAAGATCAAGTTCATTGTCCTGTTGCCCTGGGCCACAGCGACCTGGAGGCTGAGCTTGAGAGCATCCAGCGGCAATTGCAGGACTACCAGAGCATGAAGCAGAGCCTCCGGTGAGGCCCACAAACACCCTGCCCACGGGAGCAGCTGGGGGTGCTGCCAGGGCCTGGGGCGATTCACCTGCCAGCCCCGGAGCACAGGTGGCCCCTTTACCCTCAGTCCTGCTCAGGAAGGCTGTTGGCCTTACCTGTGGGTTGGGGGGCAACAAAGCTGAGCATAAGTAAACATGACTGGGCCACGTGAGTGCTGGGCCAGCAGTCTGCCCAGTGATCGTGACGTGGGATGAAAAGCTACAAAGACTGGCCTGGGCCCCAGCGGCACGCAGTGGCTTGTCTTGCTTGTGCTCTGGGTCCAGAGTCTGCGCCTCCAAGGCCAGGCTGGAGACCCCATGAGCAGCAGCCGTGGAGGTACAGGAAGGGGTCCCTGGGCCCCTCCGAGCTGCGTCTGCTGGACAGTGTGGAGGCAGGGGAGGAACAGGCACCCCTGCACCAGAAGCACATGCTTCACCCCAAGCCTGAGCGCCACCGAGGCGAACAGCAGGTGTCTCACCCTCAGGTCCTACCAGCGGCAAGCGAGCAGCCTGCGCCGGTGGCTGGAGCTGAGCCAGGAGGAGCCCAGGCCCGAGGACCAGGAGGCTGAGCAGCAGGTGCAGGAAGAGCTGCAGGAGGTGAGGTCCCCGGCCCCCCTGGGAGGGGCTCTGGCTGTGCTTCCTCTCAGCACGGCTGTCCCTCCCTGCCCGCAGGTGGAGCTGCAGGCCCAGCAACTGGCTGCGGAGCTCCAGGCCCGGCGCCAGCCCGTCAGCGCCTGCATCGCCCGCGTCCAGGCCCTGCGGCGGGCTCTGTGCTAGAGGCCCTGGCCAGGGAGGCCTCAGCCTGCCTCCAGGAACAGAATGTAAAGTAAAATGAGTTCTTTTTAAATTATTATTTCAAAATGTTGCAATTACATGAATTACTGTTCAGAAGTCTCCTGCTTTTCATACAAAAATACTGTGCTACTGATACAGTTGAAAAAGTTCAAATGGCTTCTCCTGCAGGAGAAATGCGGAGTCCCCAGGAGACAGGAACCCTGGGCCACCTTAGTGGCTCCCCAAGGATACATGCCTACCACCTGGGACAGGGTTTCTAGGCACCGGCCCTGCCTCCCACCCAGTGTGCCAGGGCTCCTCTGCCTCTAGCGTATGCCCCCAAACCAACAGCAGCAACTTCCCTGTATTTAATGGAGGGGGGGGGGGGACGGGATGCAAGCTCTCCCCGTGTGGCCATGACTACCTGCCTGCCCCATTCACACGGGACACCAGTCAGGGGGTTCAGTAACTGGCCTTGACAGCTCCGGGTCACTTGGGTCTGCAAAGCGCCTCGTCTAGTCACCATCCTTGGGAGACCTGGCTGAGTCGGGTGACGTAGTCGCCACCAGTATGAAGAGGAAGGCTTTCCCAGTGAGCAGGTGGGCCGGGTTTGGAAACAGAAAGCGGTTACATTACAGGCTGGCGGGCCCAGTCAGTGCCAGGAGGGGAGGCCAACAGTAGTGATGGGAGGAGCAGCAGAAGGTACAGTACCACTTACCATCGTAACAAACCAAGACCAACAACGCTCAGCCAGGAGATGCAGGTCTCTGGTTTATGCAATAGGAGTTAAAACTTCTCCAAAAGGGAATCTGAGATCAGCCCGACACTTACTTTCTCTTTAGGGTGAGCAGAGGGGATGACGTAGGTCTTGGGCAGGACCGGGCTCTGGCCTTGCCCGCACCTCTGGGACAGCAGGAGCAGAAGTGACCCAGGTCCTGCCTGGTCAGACCCCCCTGGTCCTGAGAGTCCCCTCCAGACAGCTGAGGAGGTTCCCCTCAAAAACTCTCCCATTTCTGTTTAGATCCCTCAGTAGCGGCAGCCAGGAGAGGCCTAGAGGGAGCCCAGGGCCTCCCCAAATCGGATTTTCTGTCCTGCTTTCAGCTTGAAGTCGAAGTCCTTGGGGGCCTCGAAGATGAGCACGATGGTGGAGCCCAGGTTGAACTCGCCCAGGTGCTCACCCTTGCGCATGGGGATGCCCTCCCTGTTGGCCTGGGTCACGAAGCTGAAGTCGTTGTAGGAGCCCTTGCTGTACCGCGGGCTGTTTGTGTGCAGGTCCTGGGGAGGCAGAGGCAGAGCAGGTGGAGACTGGCTCCCTGGACCTTCGACACAGCCTGCGGCCCGCCCCCAACTACTTGCAAAGGGCGGTGGGCATAGTGGCTCAGCCCAGGGGCCGGTGCCTAACCAGACACAGTGCCTGACGCCCGCTCTGAACGAGGCAGGCCTCTGAGGGATCAGACCCGACTGTTCTCCAGCACAAACAGAGGTGCCAGATCAGCACCCGAGGGGGCAAGTGGCAGTCACAAACCAACACCAAGAAAGGCCCTCCCTCTCCAGCCACCTCCAGGGAGGGGCAGGGGTCAAACTTCTGGTTCTGACAGATCTGGCTGCGCAGGGGACCCCAAGTGGCCAGGGTTCTGCTTACCCGGTCAAAGTAGATGCGGATGGAGCCCACGTTGGTGGCCCCCACAGCTGTCAGTGAGAAGAAGCCGTGTTTCCAGTCCCCGGTCAGGACCACCCGCTCGTTGTGGCAGAAGAGCTCTTTGATCCAGCGGGCCATGCCGGGGTTCACGGACATCAGGGAGCCTGTGGCAGCAGGGACACTGTACTCTCTGCCCGGCGGGAGGCCCAGCCACCCAGGGTCACACTCACATCACTGCAAACACTGAGGGGGCTGGGTCCCTGAGACCTAGAAGCTGAGGGCACATGGGGCTCACAGGCAGCCCTCGGCCCTGGGCCTGGCCTACCTGGGAAGTGGCGCCGGTGGGACACGGTCCAGTCGGTGGGCGAGTGGAAGCAGTGGTAGTCCCCGGGCGCCAGGTAGATGACGCAGTGGTAGAGCTCGTTTCCTTCCCGGGTGACCAGCTGGCTCCGGAAGGAGTTGCAGGAGGCGGCTGTTGGGGGCAGACACAGGGCCAGGCAATCAGATGGGCACCCGATGTCCCCAGCTGGGGCCGGTGTGTCATCTGGACACGGGCTCCAGGGAGGCCCTGAAGTGCTGGACAGAGTGATCCTGGCCCAGGGGCCAGCCCTCAGTGCCTACAGCCTTCCCAGTGGCCCCTTCCCAACCCGTTCCCAGCCTTCACCCTCTGACCTCGGGCCGGCCACACTGCAGCAGGGCGGCCAGGCCAAAACCCACCTGGTGGGAAGGGCAGGTCCTCCACAGAGGTACGCGGGCCCAGGAACGACTCCAGTGAGTAGGTGACCCCCTTCACCTGCTCCACCTCCGAGTTCTTCACCTGCCCAAAGTTGAGGATCTTCCCATCCGACGGGCTGATCTGGAAGGGCAGGCGGGTCTTACTGCCAGGGACGGGAGGGGGGAGAGGGGACACAGGGCAGGAATGCCCACCCGTGGGGGCTGTTGGGACTGGTTCCCAAAGGCACAGGCTACATCCTGTTTCTGGAGGGGGGAGTGGAAGGCAGGACCAGGCCTCACCACGCAGTGCACACCACACACGGGCCGGGCCTGCGGCTTCAGCTTGCGCCGGAAGAACTCGCTGAGGTTGCGGTAGTGGTGCAGGTCCTCCACGGCGGCCTCCTTCATGTTCACCCCGAAGGTCCAGATGTACAGGCTGTAGACGGGCCTGCGCAGCCAGTGCGGCAGCTCCACCTGGTTAAGGCGACCCCAGGCCCGCGACAGCAAGCGTGTGGGCACCGACTTGTACAACGCCACCTGCAGGCCACAGGCGGGTGGGTGAGTGGGCCACCCTGCGAGCCCACTGACCCCACCAAGGGGGCCCCCTCCAGAGGCCTTGTGCACCCCACATTGGCTTGTGATGTGGTTTCTCACTAGGAACCAGACTGAGCTTGCAAAGTGGTTTCACAGACTAAGTCCTGGCCCAGACCGACACGGGACTACAACTCCGGTGTTTGTCATTTCACACAGACCCGCCCGCCGCCATCCTAGTCCCTGGGGCGAGACTGGGCAGCACAGTCTTGCTTCTTGAAGGGGGAGGGAGACTAAATGGATCTGATACCGTCACAGACAGGCTGGGGCAGGAGGCCCTGGAGGACAGGAAAGTGCAGCCCAAAGTGATTCCCTGCCCTAACAGGACCCACTCCCCCGTCCAAGGTCAGGCACTGTGACAGGCAGATGCGCTGTGTTGCCCGCCCGGCAGGCAGAGGCATCTCCTGTGACGGGCCAGGCCACGCGGCTGTTTACATTTGGGGCTCCTCCCAGGTGGGACAAGGGAACCAGCCTCTCTCAGGGCCAGGTGACCCTTCTAGGTGCCGCTGACATGGGATTGCTAGTTGGTGGCTGATGTCTGAACACAACCAAGCCCCAAGGTAAAAGCAATTTCATTCCAACTTAACCGCCTCTAGGTGTTGCCTGCCTGATTCCCAGAACTCCTCCCAGCTGACGCTTGTACACGAGTGGCCACAGCTGCCACGTGCCCTCAGGTCGAATGTCCAGAGCTCCATAGCTTTTGAGACACCCCACCTGGGCCGTCCACGGGCCAGGAGCAGGGCCTCCTCCTTGGGGCCCACCTGCCCTCCAGGGAACTGCCCGGGCTCCCATGTCCTCAAAGGCATCCCCTCCCCAAGGGCCCACACAGGCTCCAGCCTTCCTGGACCGCCCTCTGGCATCCAGGAATTAGCTTAGATTCTTCTCAAAATTACCTCTAAGCTCACTCCTCCTTGAACAAGGAAACCAACCCGACACCGTTTTCTGAAGGCCCACACGGTTCTGTCCGGAAGCAGAACCCCCGAAGGCGCAAATGCAGGCAGAGCCGCCCTCAGGCACCTGTCGGCAGGGCCACAGCCACCGGCCAGCAGGCCCTCACCTCGCCTTTCAGCGCCCCGCCTGCCAGGCTCAGCCCCACAGCCAGGCCCTCCATGACCACTGTCTCCTAGGTCTGGTCCCTACCTCAGGCTGCCCGGGTGGGCCCGGCCAGCAGCCTGCACACACTTACCCTGCTCACGGGCCTCCATCCCACCCGGCTGAGCGGTCTGAGGGCACCGAAGGGCAGGAGGTAGTAGAGGACCGTCAGGGGCCAGGAGCGCAGTTTCAGCGCAGGTCTGGACATGCAGCTCAGCTGTCCCAGCCTCCGTCGCAGGGCCAGCTGGGGGAAGTGCAACCTGCGGGCAATGTCCACGCGTGACGGGTCAGCAGCCGGGGTCTGGGAGGCATGGGGAGCCCCACCCACCCTCAGCAAGCTCGCCTCAGAGCAGCGTCCGCCCTGCCCTGCATCCTAACCCCATTCTGACCCGGTGGCTTGGCCGCCTCTGGTTGGCAGCTCAAGTCCCAGCCCCTCACACCTGCCCCGGCTGCGGCGGACAGGTGTCTGCTGGCCGCTGAGACGCAGCAGGAGGTCCAGCTCCTCACCCCTCTGAGAAAGCGGCTTCTAAACATGGGACGGGCCCTGGGAGGCCCTTCAGGGCTAAGCACCACCTCGCCCCGCCCTCCTGGGGCACCAGCAGGCAGTCTGACCTCCCAGCACCCCTCAGCATAGCCGCGCACCGTGGGGGAGCTACTGCTACTGCCCGCGAGGACCTGGGGAACCGACGGATGGCTCCAGGCCTCTTAGTTCCTCATCTGAGTTAAGGGGCTGGGACGAGATCACAGAGGAAAACAGCCCCCTAGCAGTGACTGCTCCATCCATCAGCATGGCCACTCGACACAGGTCAGCATCTCCAAAACCCATCCACAAATTGCTGGGGGGAACCTGCCACACCCCTGGCCCAAGCCTCCCCAGCCCCAGCCCAGCGCACTCAGCTCAGGCGCAGCCTCTCCCCAGAACCTGGGCCTCCTGAGCCACATCAGTGAGGCCCGTGTCCCCTCAGTGCCGAAGGCTCGGAAAATGCTGCCGAGGCCCTAGAGCAGCCATCAGGAGGCCACACTGCCACCCTCTGAGCATCTGCAAACGGACTGCATTCAACTGGAAACTAAGTCCCCCAGAGAAGCGGTGTCCTTTGCCCCCCGCCCCCACTTGCTGACCAAACCAAGGAACAAAGAGGCAGCTCAGCTGATACCGAAAGCAGGAAACACAGAGAACCGAGCCGATGGCCAGGCCCAGCTCAGGGACGGTTCTGCCGCATCCACTGCTCTGCGGACTCCCCGTTCATTCTCTCACCGCCCGCCAGTTTTTTAAACAGGTCTGGTTGGTGGTGGGGCCCAAGCAAAACCAGACAAATCCCCGCTCCCCGTCCCACTGCCCCCACCCGCCCTGCTCACTGCAGAAGCACAGGGACCAATCCTGGAAGAGCTGCACCCAATTGGGGTGGGGGCGCCTGGGGTGGGGGTGCAGCAGTTTAGGTGCAGCGCAGACCCTGGGCCACCAGCCCGCTCCGCCTCCCCAGTACCTGAAGCGGGCTCTCCGACTGAGGCCCCCAAGGCCGGGACCCTCCAACCGCGGGGGAGCCCCGGGGCCCCTGCCGCCACCTCCACTTCGGGGTCGCTGGACATGAACTCTGACCTTGTGGAGGTCGTGGCGGGGAACAGCAGGGTTAGGAGGCCGCTGGCAGCATCTCACCATTTCGCCGCGCTGAGCTCTGGTCCTCGCCTCGCCTCTGACTGACACATGGTGGGCGGGCAGGGAGGCGGCGCCAGCACGATTGCCTTTGTTCCTCCTCCTTCCGCCCTTCCCCCCAAGGAGCTCCTGGGCTGTCACGGCTCCACGGCGGCTGGTGGGCCGCTTCCTCGGCCCTCGGCTCAGAGACCACTGGGTGGGGCAGGGACTATTGCAAAGACAGGCACTGGTCACACACCTGCTGGGCCTGCAGCACCAGCCCTGAGCGCGGCCCACGCTGTCCCCAGCTTGGCCACCAGCCGCTCCAGTGAAGCCCGGCAGGGAGGGGACCGGCCCCTCTGGGCCCAAGGAGCACAAGCGGGAATCGGAGGGAATCTGAGCCCTGCGCTCCAGGCAGGCGCCCAGCGTCGCCCAGTCTGCGGCTCGGGAGGCCCCTCCCTTGCCAGGACCTGACCCATTTTCCATTCAGGTGACAAAGTAGCATCTGAGGAATGAGGGAGGGGAGGCAGGGGAGGTGGCTCTTCCTCACGGCCCATGCCCCGGGTCCCCCATACGGGGAGCACCCAGGTGACAGCCAGGAAAACGGCATGGAGCTGGGGCCAGGACTGAAGCTCACCCCTGCCCCGCCTCTGCCCTCCCCGTCGGTACTTGGGAACAGGGACAACACTCTGGCCGGGGACCCGCTAGGCTAGGGGGAGGACACGTGTCCTCCAAGCCCTTCCGGTAGCCTCACAGATAACAGGGAAGAAGAGCAACATCCCAGGTTGTTGCTGCCTCAGCCCCGGGAAGCCAAGGCCCCGGGGAGGACGCCCCACCAGCCTGGCCTCCAGCCCCATCTCTGAACCCCCCAGGACCCCACACGGCCACCGCCTGTGACCCAGCAGGAGGCCCCAACTCAACACGTTCTATCACACAAGCGGGACCAGATGACACCCAGCAAGCCCGCCTCAGGCAGAGGAAAAGGCCAGCTCGGCACCTGCCAGGTGTGCAGGGGCCCGTGGGAGCCAGGACCAGGCTGCCTGAAGTCTGGACGTGAGTGTGGATTTCTGCCCTGACCGAGGAGACAGCAAAGCCCGGCCCACCCAGACCAGAGCAGGTCCAGACCCCTCCCCAGGCCACTGGCCTTGGGAGGGGTCAGTTCCCTGTGGGGAGGGGGCCAGGCCTCCTCTGGCCCCGAGGGACAAGCCCACAGCCCCATGGACACCCCTGCTTCAGGCTCTGTGATCTCCAGCTAGCAGTCCTATCCCTGATGGTCAGGTAGCCTCAACCACACCACTCACAAGCTGAGCATACCCCACCCCTTCCACCAGGCCTTGGCCTCATACTGCTCCCCAAGAAAACAGGCCCAGAGGGTGATGGCAGTCGGGGCTAAGTTTGGTGCGTGGCTTCCAGGACGGGGTTCTCTCCCTGCCTCTAGAAACTAGAAAGCTCGGATTCGCGGTGGGGCCAGCGAGGCCTGTGGGAGGGGATGGGGCTCAGCCGCCACTTGCGGGTGCTGCTCTCGGCCATGGTGGCCACGCAGCATGCTGTCAGGTCAGAGAGGCACAGTCAAGGGCCCGCAGACAAACCCGCTTCTCTGGAAACCTGACCCTCAGAGCAGAGGCTCATGCTGGGATTTCATGGTCCCCAGACCTCCCCTGCTTCCCCTCCCACCCCACAGTGGAGGGAGCTCAGGAGCCGGCCAAGGAGCTGCTGTCCTCGGGCCGGCAGGAGGTCCTTCCCGCCTCAGTCCCATCTCGGCCACTCCTCTGCCTCTTCTTCTGAAAGATCCCCAGGAAGCGAGCCTGGCGCCCAGGCCAGCTTAGAGCTGCAGGACGGAGGCAGTCGGTCCCTGGCGGTCACCACTCACCTCCCGGGGTCAGAGCCACTCCCGGCCTCCCATCCCTGAGCCCCACTTCCCTCCACACGTGGGCCAGCCTCGCCCTCTCTGGCTCCGAGTGGGGCTGGGGATGGAGGTGGGGGTGCCTCAGCTGATGAGGAAGCCGCAAGGAGGTGCTCTGAGGTGGGGAAGGGCGGACACTCTCCCTGGACCCCGAGAGTCTCAAGGACACTCCGTGGTGGTGAGTTTTGGGCTGTGACCAATAGGACATTAAAGTCATTACAAGGCCTAAGGGACAGTCACATGGACCATGAAAACTCAGGTGGCTTTGGTGGGGACAGGGACAATGTGGTTACTGCAAAACCCCCACCCTGAGAGCAGGGAGAGGCCTTGCCCCTCACAGGAGCTCTCCCTGGTCATTCCTCCTGCGCCACCCCCACCCCCACCCCAGGCCCAGACCAGAGCTGCGACCACTCCCAGAAGGACTCTGCTCAGAAACCCAGGCCTCCCCTCCACCAGGAGCTCAGTGCAGCCTCACCCCAGGCCTGGCTCCTGACATCTCCCCTCCAGACCCACACCCTGGGGGACAGAGGTGTCCCCCACTGGGAGGTGGAAGCAACAGGGCCGAGGCTGCCTGTGAGTAGGAGGAGAGGGCCCCACAGGACCCGGGGAACCAGGACTGAGCCCACGCCTGCCCGCCTCTGCCTCCAGCTGCGCGGGAACAGGGACAGCACTCTGGCGGCCCCATGGCCGGGGGGGACCATCTGTGCCAGGATGCGCTGTTCTGGGGGTTCACACCGAGCAGTGCTGCATGTCCCCGTCCACCCTCACTGACCGGGCGAATGGACACTCCACCTCATGTCGGACGGACTGACCCAGGCCAGTGACCAGCTACTACAGGTGGGTGGGCGTGGGCATGTGCCCCCGGCTCCCAGGACCTGACAGACTCAGGTCTGAGCCTCAGCCAGGCCAGGGAGGCAGTGAGGGGGTCGGAACTGTCCCCCCTCCGCCCCCTCAGAGGCTCTCCATGCGCACATAGGGCCCGGCAGCCCTGCTCATGTCCAGCCTGAGACCACCCAGACTCTGCTCCTGCACCTGCGTGGCCATCTCCCTGGGTGCCAGTCACCCCTCTGAAGCCTCAGCAGAACCCCATGCCCCCTGAATGTGTGCACCGACCTTTGAGTGCCCCGCCCTGGAGGACAGAGACGCTCCCCCCGCACCACCACCCCCCCCCCCAGCTCCCCTGGGCCTGGCCCCCAGGCAGCTGTGTCCCGGTGAGGCTCCAGCCCTTCCTCCTGTTCCGGGGCTAGAAACAGGCACAGCTTCACAAGGAAGGAGCGGAGCCATGCTCTCCCCGTGACGTGGGTGGGCCGTCTTGGAGAGGCCTCGGCAAGAGAAGCGGAAGCAGAGATGGCCCAGGGGCAGCCGGGGAGGGGGGACAGGGCTCTCCCAAAGGAAAGGCCCTCCTCTCGGGCAGTCCCCCCCGCCAGCAGGGATGAGGCTCAGAAAGGACAGCACGTCACCCCGCGAGGGGCGGGGAGGGGGCGACAAGTACTGACACGGCCAGGTCCCGCCGAGGAACAGTGCAGCCCCACCCCCCATGCCCACCCCAGGCCCTTTGGGGGGCACAGAGGAGACCAGCCGAGCTCTCGGCGCTGGAGGCACTTCCCTTTTCTCGGCCCTAAGGCTCCGAGAAGCCAGAGGATGCAGAGGAAGTGAGCTCATCCAACCGGCCGGCCCACAACGGCCATGCGGGGCCGGGAAGCCCACTACTTGGGGGAGACGGTGGGGTGGGCTCCTTGGGCCCCCAGGCCTCAGGCTCCGAGCCGGAAAGGGGTGCCCTGAACCGCGGGGGCTGGTGGCCTCCCAGCCGGGTGTGGAGAGGAGCCCAGCTCACTCACCGGCAGGTGGTCCTGTCCCGCTGGCTTCCGGGCTGCACCCAACGAGGGAGACGGAGACGCCGCTCCTCCGCCAAAGCCTTGGGTTGGAGGGCGGGGCTCAGCCTCCAGCCACTCAGACAGTGGGACGGGACAGAAGGGCGGACACCAGACACCGGGAGCTGTGCTCCGCCTCCCGGCCCAGCCCCGCCTGCCCAGGGGCCCTTCAAGGGGAAGAGGAGACCAGCACCCTGGATCACAGTCAGGGCACTTCCCCAGTGACATGGCGGGTTGGGAGCCGCAGTCCCCAGCAGGGGCTGGTCGTCTGGGCGGCTGCCTCCCTGACCCCCCTCCCTACACCCACCCCTGGAGGCAGGCGGGGCCTTCAGGTGCCTGTGGCTTCTCTGGGCTAAGGAGCCCTGTCCAGCCCTCCAAGTGAGAAAGTGAAACATCCCGAGACCCAGGCTGCCCCACCCCCGCTTCCTCTCCAGTTCACTGTGGGTGGCCACGCCTGCCGCACAAAAATCCCGTGGACCAGCAAACAAGCCCAGGGGGCCAGGTGTGCCCCTGGGCCGAGCACTCAGGACATGTCTTATTTTATTTTCCTATTACAGTTAACAGTCAACCTTATTTTAGATTAGTTTCAGGTGCACACACAGTGTTAGACCTGCCTTTCTACCCACCAGACGGCAGACCGCTAGCCTGTGGGGCCAGCGCCACATCCGCATGCCCGCCAGTCAGCACGGATGGAATGACGCACTTAGCATATCCGACCAGGGGAAGGGCTGACAGGAAGCCCGCCCATGCGACCACAGCAAGGCAGGACTCAGGGGCCCGGCTGCTGGGGGTGCCGGCCACGCGGGCAGCTCGGCAACCGCTGGTCACACTGCTCAGAGGCGCCTTCTTCTGGCTCAGGCTCCTGAACCAAACCAAGCCCTGCTTCTTCCACCGAGAATGTGGTTTCTAGGACGCCTCTGGGCTGTGAAGAGATGGTAGCTGACCAGGGCGCGCAGACCGCCCACACCAGGCCTCACTGGGACCAGCACCTTCTCCACGACCTGGAGACCTGGCTGCTGCGTGGAGCGCAGGGAGGCAACGGGAGGCTCCTGGCTCAGGCCGTCCGACATCCCACAGCGGCAGGCGCAGCGGGCGGGACCCACACTGAGGCTGCGGGACTCCCAGCATTCTGAACCCTGCTGAGGCGCCAGACCCTTCTCACCTCCACACTCCAAGCAAATGCCACCTGACAAGATCAAACGGAGCTAAAGCACAGAGGAGGCCGCCAGAGTCCTGGCCGCACACACGCCACAGCAGAAAGGTCCTGGGAGCCTCCAGCACGGCCCACCCAGACCAGCACGCGCCTGTGGGTCGAAAGACCAGCTTCTCATTTGCTGAGTGGAGGCACCAACACGCTCCCTGGTAAAATGACCAATCAGGTGGCTCCACACCATCTCCCAGAGTTCATTGTGACACTCAGACCCCTCAGGGGACGGTGTTCAGAAAAGGCACACACATGCCCCAGGTTTGCCTTGGGATCAGCCTCCGGCTCGGACCTGACCGCCTGGGGCCCTGTTTCAGCAGGAAACGCCTCCTGGATCCCAGACAACAGCTGCCAGATCATTTCTGGGAAAACAAGAGCCCGTGGTAAGCTTACTTCCCCTCAGAATGAGCCCCTTCCGGCCAACTGGGTCCTTCACTTCAACTCCCGCGGGTGGGAGTACCGCCTCTCGCCGCTGGGAGGCTCTGCAAGCCTCCGGCCTCTTGGCCACCAAGACGCGTGGACAGACCTCCCCTCCAGGTCAACCCCTGCAGCTCCCCACTGAGCGCCAGGGACCAGGAGGCAGTGGGACAGGGTGGCAGGAATCTCTGCTGATTCCCATTCCCTGGGGGCCAGTCGGGCGGAGGGGGGAGGAAGATGGGTGCTTGCAAACGTCTCTCAGCAGCCCTGCCAGCCCGCAGGCCTCTCCGGCTCACGCGGGGAGCCCCTCGGTGGCTCTGAGGAAGGGTGGCACGCAGCATGAGAAGAGAACAAGGTGCATGTGCAGGAATAAACTCAAAATGGATTGAAAACTTAAGGTCAGATCTGAAACTGAGCCCAGTGAGCCAGGACAGGTGGGCCGGGAAACGGAGGCAGACAGCGGGACCAGCTGCCCGAGCGTGGACAGCAGACACAGGTCACAGGACCCAGCCACTCAGGTAGGACGCGGCCAGCACTCCGCGTGCCAGGCTGCACGCTGGGGCTGGTGTTCCGGGAGCTCTTCACGCCTGATGCGAGTGCCGGCTGCCACCACAGCTCCCTCTGCAGCACAGGCCTCCCACCCCTGCTTGTCACCTCCCTGGTGGCACCTCCGTGGCTTGCAGGAGGGCCGTGTGGACGGCTTCTTCCCCGACAGGCCCCCCATTTCCATCGCCCAGCTTTCCCACCACATGGCCCCGTCCTCAGGTCAAGAAAGGACCAACAGGAAACGCCAGAGACCGAGGGGAATCTGTCACCAGACGTCACCCTGCACGGAACTCACATCGGCTATGTTCCCAGAAACCCGGGAGTCACCACGCCTGGATCACCCAGTAGCTTTAGGGGTACAGCGCCACACACCTTCACCCCGCTCGTTAGGAGGTACTTAAGAAGGCTCTGTTCCCGCTTTCTGACTTATGGGGACAAGAGGACAGCGTATCTGAAATCTCAACTGCCACACAGATGCAGAATCCGCCCTTAACCCAGAGTCTTTCGCTCGCTCTGGGCAGTTACTGTCAGAACTGAGTTGGACTGTAGGACACCCAGCTAGTGTGAGCCTGTTTGCTGGTGTGGGAAATACACCCCCAAACACACATGCAAATGTTGGAATTGGTCCCAGAACCCTAAACAAATAATAATTTACAAAAACCCTCCAAGTGCCCCTGCTGCCATGCGTCCTGCTAGCTGGTAAAGAAAGGAGGTGTCTGTACTAATAACGAGCTGGGTTCTCTAAGGTCCAGAGGCTCTGCCCACTACACAGCCATGCACATGCAGGGGCTTAGCTTCCAGGAGCTCCACCGCACACTCAGAGCTGGGAGCCAGTTCCCAGCTCACCCGGGGTCAGGAGACACTTGCACAGGCACAGGCCGGTGGGAAGTCCTCACAGAACACAGGGCATTGAGGAGGCATCCCCGAGAGCCGCCCCGTAGTGCAGCAGCAGGGCTGGCCTAGTCCTGAGTAGAGGCCACGCAGTTTACAACCATCCAGCAAATCGAAAAACCCTGTCGTCTGTAACCAAGGACACTGAAGAGTGAACAGTCCGCCCGGCTGGCGTGGCTCAGTGGCTGAGCATCGACCCATGAACCAGGTCACCGGCTGACCCCAGAGCCAACCAGCCCCGCCCTCATTACAAACAATCCCCGTTCAGGTCTGGCCTCACATATGGCGGTAGCCCAAGCACGCAAACGGTGGGTGCTGAGAAAACAGCTGCTGACACTGGTCTGTCATGATTTTGGAACCAGCAAGTTTCTCCCAAATGTACATCCTCTTGAAGGGAGTGGGGATTTCCTGAGGGCTGCAAGCTCCTCACAGGGTGAGTCAGCCTGCCACGTGCTGGGGCCAGAGCGAAGCAGCTTGGCTTTAACACGTGACGACAGTCATGAGTCAGCTCAGCAGCACTAAGTGCTCTCCAGGAAGAGCATGTTCACTGGGGAGACCACCAGGGCCATGGAGAATGCAGAGCCCAGCAGGCCCCGGAGTGTGCTCACATTCGATGCCTGCCCTTCCCCGCGGATCTGCGCTGGAACGCCAGAGGACAGAAAGCCTTCGGTCTCTTGGTCCGAGTCGGTTCTTATAAAGGCCACGGCGCGTGGACGGTAGGCACATGAGGACAGGCGGACACATCTCAGGGTCCAGCCACATCGCGACCTGCATGGCCCGCCGACGAAGGCAGTTTCACAGGCTGTGGGACTCAAGTGAAACCATTCCCCTGCTTCTCTTGGAGGAAGAGGGTCAACACCAAAAGCCAAAACAGGGTTCTGGGAGGAAGCCTGTATAACATGTAGCAGGTAATGCCAACAATTCTAGATGAACCGTTAGAGCTGGAGTCATGTTCCAATCCAAGCACTGTTATTGTTGTTTTCAAGTCTTCCAAGGACATGCTTGACGAGAGCGGGGGGGGGGGGGGGGGACTTTCATCGGCTGCCTTCATCCCTGCCCTGACTGGGGACTGAACCTGCCCTTTGGGTGCACAGGACGACGCTCAACCGAGCCCCTCGAGCCACTGTTTTACAGCTGACGACACAAAGGCCCAGACGGAAAGTGACACAGCCTAGTTCCCTGAGGAGCACGCTGGGACTCGCAGACGCCCTGGACCAGCTGCACTGGATACTAACATGGACGGAGCGGCTCACGAGGACACCCAGGCATCATTCCAAACGCCGTAACGTCTTCACGTTCACCCCCTCTTCCGCCCAGACTGCCAAGACCGATTGGTATTTTGTATTTTCATTTGTTAAATATAGCTGCAAAGGGGGCAGTTTTTATTTATTTATTTTTTAAATATTCACAGAGAGGAAGGGAGAGGGATAGAGAGTTAGAAACATCGATGAGAGAGAAACATCGATCAGCTGCCCCTTGCACACCCCCGACTGGGGATGTGCCCGCAACCAAGGTACATGCCCTTGGCCGCAATCGAACTCGGGACCCTTCAGCCCGCAGGGCGACGCTCTATCCACTGAGCCAAACTGGTCAGGGCAGGGGGCAGTTTTTAAACATACACACTTATATTCGATTTCAACATTTACTGAATATCTGCTGAGTCAGGGATGGTCCCGGGCCACGGGAAGCACAGAGGAATAAGGCAGCTCGTTACGCATCACCCCCGGGGTCAACAGTATCGCAGCCTGGCCCTACCACGCGGCCCTCTAGTGGGGGGGTATCTGAGCAACAAGGACAAAGGATTTGATTATTTCAGTCTGGTTTCTGGTGAGAACTTAACCACATCCCCAAAATCCAACCGTTTTAGTTCATCCTCAGCCTGAGAAGGCGTGAGCAGCCAGGATGCCAGCCCCAATATCAGGCAAGAACTCTGAGGGTTTCAGCAGCAGGCCGTTTCTACTCAGAGCCCGTGGGGCGCCCTGGGGAGGTCTGGGACGGAAGAGAGAACTTCTGTATCTGGCCAGAGCCCACTGGAGACATGAGCTCCAAGAAGGCGCGGTTCACTTTTTCAAACATTTCGACTTTGGAGCATTTAAAAGTGACGGGCGGTTGTGCTAGACGAGAAATCAAAGCGGTTCCGTCTTATTCCTACCTCCCAGTGACCTGCGAGTTTGGGTGGAATCTCCAATCCCAGCTTCTCCAGCTCTCGCTCCCTATACTTCTCATATTGCCGGTAACCTGCGTACCCGCCGCCGCCAGTCAAAACCAGAAATGGCAGGGGGCGCAACCGGAACAAGGTTCGAGCAGGGGCAGTGTGAACTTTTCTGGCATCTGTAAGAACAAAAAACCAACAACAGCGAAAATGGTGAGCCTGGGAAAAGGGACAGGAATGAGTCATGCAAGCCCAGCGCCAACAGGAGGGCCAGGAGAAGGCACTGCGTCTTAGAAGCCTGTGCAGGTGAGTGGCCTCAAGGGATCTGACAGGCAGGTGCTACCTGAGTCACTACTTGGGACCCTCTGTCTCCAAATTCTATCAATGAGCAAGCGACAAGCATCTTTCCTGTGAAACTACAAGGCGCCCCAATTGCCGCCACAATCACAGAATTTAAGAA